TGGATTGAAATTCATTTTGCTGGCACTTATCCAGTTCATTACTACAGCCAGGCTCTGATTCAGCAGTTTTACCATCTCACCTGAATCTGATGAAAAACAGAGATAGAGCTAAGTGTCATCAGCATGCTGATCACATTTTAGTTTAAACTTTAGGATGATCTCATTTATCAGTTTCTAGTAGATGTTAAACAGGGAGGATAAAATAAAACATTTCATTATATACCACAGAATAATGTTTGAGCAGAAATTTCCAAGTATCACCTTATGCAGACTTTTACTCAAATTTGAACAGAACCACTTTAAAGATGTTCCACTCATACCTTACTGGGACTTTCCAAAAGGCTATAATCATAAATGGTATCTAAACCACTACAATGGTCATTTCCTGAGAGATTTTTAAATGAAGGTTTAATCTGACAGAGATTATGTACTGGAATTCTATGTTTGGAGGTTAGGATGGATGAACTCTAAAGTTCCTCTAACTCTTACGATTTTTATGAACCCAAAGATAATTGCCTTGGAAATGTCAGGAAAAAAAGGAGCTACACTTATCTCTGGGCAGTATATTTTATAATGTGGGGGCTTCTACCAAGAAGGCTTGCTTTCTGACCCACATCCATATGCTAAAGTCATATTTGATAAAGCAGTTCCCGATGCACTGAAAAATTACTTCAGTGTATAAATACATTAATAAGCAATATTTTAATGTATTAAAAACATTTAGATTCAGAGAGCCATTTTGGTCCAGTGGTTATGATACTGAACCAAAGGAACCAAGAGACGGTGAGTTCAAGTCCCACCTTAGGCATGAAAGCTGGATGACTTTGAGCCATTCATTCTCTCTCAGACCAACCCAGGGTTGTTGCTGTGAAGGAAGGAGGAGGAGGAAGGTGTATTGGATGTGTTTGCTGCCTATTTGTAAAAATAATAAAATCAGTGTATAAACAAAAAAACAAAACAAAATGGAGCTTCTGGTCTAACAATTCATCTTGAATCCCAGCTATCAAGGTCCCACATAATTTCTTTGTTCCAGAGCTGACACTGTTGCTGCCTTACTTTCTCTAAAACCTTCAGCAAGCATGGCGATTACAACTCTGATAGCTTTTACTGATGTGTGGTAAAACCTTGAAGCAGACATAGAGGGTGATTATTTAGTCAGAGAGCAAAGAATTTAAGAGAAATGTCTTTGCCTTGTAATTATGTCTAATGCTGCAAGCTTCTAGCCAATAAAGTTCAGAGACAGGAATACCAAAAATAGTTGAAGACAGTCAAACACCAGAGACTTCCACAAAAGCCAGTCTAGCTTAGGGTCTGATGACAGGCAATGGGCAGGATGTATCTGGAACACATTCTTTATAGCCAGAATTCCTGACTATGCTTAATTAGAGAAGTTAATGCCCCTTCCTTTTGAACTGTACTGACCTTTACTGCTTTGCTCTCTTTAGCCGGCGGCATGAATTAGGACTTAACACTCTCCTGAGGTCAGGCTCTGACTCCTTGCTATTGGAATTAGTGGTCATCTGGGCTGAGTTATTCACCAATGTCTGACAGCCTCTTGAACTGTAGGTTGGGAGTCTGTGAGGTTTTCTTCTGCCTCCAAATCTGTGGAATCAAAGGAGTTCCAGAACAGTTTCTCTAAGGCAGGGCCCTTGAGGCTCAACCAACAGGAGCAGACGAGCACCTCTCTCAAGGAAATTGGAACTTTTTCCTTTCACAATGGGGTATTCACTGCAGCCCAATAAAGAACTCCTAGTTCCCTCCCATGTCACTTTAAGTAGATAAATGGCTGGGTCATGTACACAAATTGTTGTACTTACCCCCTAGAAGACTGTCTACTTCTTCACAATCCATAGACTCAAGAACCTTCCAAGTAGCATTTCAAGTTATTTGTATCACTTCATTGGATCTCACCCATCCAACTTCCAACTCAGAGTGGATTTTATTATTTTATTTACAAAACCGTTTAGCAAATTAGCACACCTTAAACTTGGTGATTCAATTCCAGAAGTGATATTTGTTATTATTGCTTTAATATTAATTCAAATCAAGAAAATGTTTGGAAAACTGCTGAGAGAAATTAACTTGTAATTAAGCAATTACTTTTAAAACAGTCTATGCTCTGAAATCCAGTGTGGTCTAGTGGTTAAGCTATCAAGCTAAAAACCAGGAGACTGTGAATTCTAGTCCTGCCTTCGACATGAAACCTAGCTGGGCAACTTTGGACCAACCACCCTCTCTCAGCCCACAATGTCAGGCAATATTGTTATTTTTCATCCCTAAAAGTTTTCAGTTTCTTTTTCAATTGAATTGCATGGCTTATGTGTTATATGGTGGAAATGGTGAAGTGATTTATCTTGGTCTGATTTTTTTTACATATCAAAAACCTGGCATATACAGTAGACTTTTTATATCCACTGTAGATCCAGAAGGCTCAAATATCCAGAGCTGCTTGGTCTTGGCAGAGTTCAGCTAAAGACTGTTATTCCCCATCCAGACCTGCACAGTTTTCAAAACCTGGAGCAGGGCATCAATAGTTTTGCTCAGTTTCCTAAGGGCAGAAAGGTGTAGCTGAGTTTCATCAGCAGTTCACCCCATGTTGATGAATGATCTCACTCAATGGCTTCATGATGTTAAATAGGAGTGGAGAGAGTACTTATCCCTGCAGAACCCCACATAGTAGGAATTGAGGGCAAGACTTTCATTCTCAGTCAATACTGACTGGTATTGCAGAAAGAAAGGGAACCAGCATGATATTGTACTGCCCACCCTCAACCCATGGAGCCACGCCAGAAAGTTACCATGATCAATGGTAATGAAAGCCGCCAAGAGGTCAAGAAATGTAAGGTCAGATGTGCTACCACTATCCTGCTGCCACCACAGATCATCCAAAAGCGTGAGCAATGTTGTCTCTGTCCCATCCCCAAATCTGGATCCTGGCTGAAAATGGTTCAGTTGATCTGCTTCATCAAGGTCTGACTGAAGCTGCTTCATAATTACTTTGTTCACAACCTTCCCTAAAAAAGGGAGATTAGACACCAGACAAAAATTGTCCAGCATGGTCAGATCCAGTGATGGCCTCTTCAGGAGGGATGAACTACTGCCTCTTAAGAAGTAATGGAACAACTCTTAATCATCACTAGGATCTAACCACATGCTATTCCTCCCCTCCCCCAGGTAGCCTTAAATAGGTGGGAGGGGCATGGATTTAAGAAACAGGTGACTGAGCTGACAGTCATTAGGACTTTGTCCACTTCAACAAGTCCAACAAGATCAAACCATTCCTGGCTAATAGGACAAGTCTGTCTCCTGGGCACCTCCACTGAATCTGAATCTAAGCTGGAGTCCAGTTTAGAATGAATGTAATAGATTTTGTCCAACAGACACTGTGCAAATTCTTCTGCATGGCCTTTCAGGTGAATCGCTAAGTCAGGGGTCCTCAAACTATGGCCCGGGCCGGGGGCCAGATACGAAGCCATTAATGTGGCCCATGGGCTGCCCTGCCCACATCAGCCTGCTCACCTGCCGGCTCCCACCCGCTTCTGGAGGCCAGGATGGCCAAAAACGGACCCATTTTTTCCTTCCAGGCCTCCAGAAAGAGAGGGGAGGGAAACAGAAGTCCCTCATACACACCCCAGGGCAGCCACATCCCTTCACTAACCTGCTTTCCACCCCCAGGAGCAAAACATATTAAAGTTTGTGTGTATTGTTTGGACTGCTAAATTGGCCATGACCACCTGGTCACATGATCACCTAGCCATGCCCACCCAGCTGGTCTGGCCCCCCAACAGTCTGAGGGACCGTGAATTGGCCTCCTGTATAAAAAGTTTGAAGACCCTGCTCTAAGTTTTTATCCAGCAGGGCTTGTGCCACTTTAAAAGTGTCACATTTAAAATTCAGGTTGTGGTTTGTGTGTATGTCTTTGTTGGGCTTTGAATAAAAATGACCAGATTTTGATCATGGCAAGAATTCATTTCTATAGTCTCCTAACTTTGGGGGTTAGGTGGTTTAGATTATATTCTCCACCATGAATTTAAACAGATTTTAAGATCCTTAACAGTGCTATTGAGCAAATGATTGCTGAACTCAGAGATAAAAAATTCCAAAAAGCTCAAAAACTTTCAACAAGCATAATAGGGATTTTAACACGTTATGCTTGTTAATTAATAAGGTACTTCTAATATGTCTCACATTATCCTGTATTTGTATAACCAATCAGTTTTTCATTCTCTCCCTCCACCATGTCTCATTCACTTTTGATCCTACATCATGCTAGCCATTCTATTTACCCGTTCATTAGAAGGCAGAAAAAAGGCTTATTCAGACAGGTTTTTAGTTTACAGGAAAATATTTTGCTGAATAATCAATTTGTTTGGTGTGTTACTTGTATATTTCTATTTTGTTTTTAGATTTTTTTCCCTAATACAATAAGTGGAAAGGCAATATTCATATTTGTACAGAAATATATATTTGATGTTTATTTTGGCATTTGAAAACAACTTTGGGTCCTTGCTATCTTTTCTTATCTCAGAAACTTTCTCGTGTGATAAAAGACTTCTCAATTAACAGCTCATTATCTTAATAGTAAATATACCAGGTTTAAGCCAAACATGCAGCATTTCTGTTGAGCAAAATGATAAGTGTCTACTTAACATTTCTTGGAATCTACAACTTGTACTTTATATAAGTTAATCACCCTGTAACTAGAAATAGTAGTTTCAGAAATGGCTGTTCTTTATCCAGTCTGTCTTGTAAAAGGATAATATTTCCTAATTAATTCTTTGTTTCTTGACTATATGTAATCTCTATGACAATTTTATCTGAATCTGGAAGATCTCCAGTTTGTTGATATATAAGCAGCTGAATGCTAACAGCAATTTAGTATTGAGATTTATTTATTTTTATAAGCATAGATCTGTAGATAGTATATGTGTTTTCCAAAGTGTGTGATATCTTACTGTCGTTCCTGTGCCTAACCCTAATTTAATTTTTTTTCTTTATAGTTTTACTAGTGTGCGTCAAGGAACTCATATTTTGTTCCGAGAGTTCAACTTTGTCCAAGCTACACCTCATAATAGAACATCCTTTCTAAGGACTTTTTGGCGATGCTTCAGGACAGTGGGGAAAAATGGAGGTGAGTCTTTAAAAAATTATCTCAATTTGAAGCCAAAAGTGTGCTAACTTTTTGTCTAAAATTTTTGAATCAGTAACAAAATCTGCCAATTTTTGCATTGGTTTTAAATATCCTTTTTCTAGATTGTGTTTTTCCTGTGAGCTTGTACAGGCTACAATTAACATACAAAATAGATCAGTAATAGTATTTTTAAGGACATATTTACAGAATAAATCTTGTCTCATACTAGGCAAAAATTAATGTATTAGGTATGGTTGGATTACATAAATTAAAACCAGATTGAGAATATGTTAGGGAGTTCAATGACCATTCCAGTATCGAGTCCCCCCCAAGCACCTGGGACAGGCAGATGCTGTTTGATGGTATTAAAAGTATTGTCACAGGATGTAAATTCAAAATAAAGCTTTTAAATAAAACATTCTTACTGAGAATCATGGAGGAGGCTACATGATGTCATGTGTTGCTCTGCTGCCTCCAGCATCAGCCGCCTAGAATCTATGTAGATTCTGTGTAGACAGAGTATAATGAAATCATACAGTTATCAAGGCATTCTGGAGTGAAACATAAAGGTGAGCGCGCCCCAGGGGTGGAACCTGCCAGTTCTAATCTCTTCTATAGAAGAGGTTCCACAAATCTACTGTGCCATTTAGAACATGTTCCAGCTCCCTCTCCTTGCCCGTCGGCACCATGCTTGCCTTGCCCACTGCTCACTGATTGGCTGGCTCACCAATCGCCCTACCTGCCTCTAAGAGTCCTATCTAAACCTTAAAATCTTAAAGCTGTCAAGTTTGAACATCCCTGGGGTTTTTTTTCCCCTAAAGGGTTAGAGGTGTAAGGGTCTTGTAACTTGACAGCTTTAAGATTTGCATGCTTCAAATGCCAGAGTTTCTGAACCATCTTTTTGGTTGCTAAGCAAGAGCATTGTTAAGTGAGTTTCACCACATTTTACAAGTTGACCACGCCCACCCAGTCACATGGCCGGCAAGCCACTCCCACAAAACAGGCCACACCCACAGAAGAGGTTCTAAAAATTTTTTGAAACCCACCACTGGCGCTTGCTCACATTTGCGAACCGGTAGGGAAGGTAAGTGAATCCCACCGCTGATACACAGGAGTATATACACAGGAGTATATATCATGATAAAGGCCATCCAGCTGGCCAGCTGAAGCAAGCAAGCATCTGTATTAGGAAGCTGTGATATAAAAATTGCTGGAGCTAGATCATATCAGTGACAATGGCAAAGACATCATTTCATACTGCATAGGAGAAGGCAATGGTAAGCCCCCTCTTTTTTTAATGAGTATCTTACAAGAAAATCATATGGACAGAAACTATAAAATGGTTGATTGCACAGTGCCAAATGAGGGGCCTCTCAGGTTGAATAGCGCTCAACATTTTACTGAGAATAGATGAAAATATTTTGATGTTTATGATGTTGCTAGATTAAAGCCCTCAGGATATCTAGGTGGTGATATTGCATTGCAGGAAAAAAAATTCCAAACCTGCAAAGACAGAATTATAGAAGGAAGAGCACAAGATGCATGAACATGGAAAAGCTCGTCACAGTAAAAATGAAGCAAAGCAATAACACTGACTTATTAGGCATCATTGAATTGAGATGTACTGAGTTCAGACATTTTCAATCAGAAGATCACAAAGTTTACTACTTAGGACATGAAAAAGAAGGAAGTGAATTGTTTCCAATTTGGCAGGCTAGAGCAAGTGGTATAATTTACGATAGTGCAATCAATGTATGAATAATATTAATTATACTTTAAAACTTTTAATATGACAATTAATCAAGTTTAGGCCCTACCCACTCATGCAGAAGAAGAGGTGGTTGGTGGTTTTTATGGTTAAGTTCAATTTCAAATTGATGCAAGAAAGATGTGATTGCCATAATTGGAAATATGGAGGAACTGAATGATCTAGGAAAGCAAAATGAAACAGGAGATTGACTTATCAGTTTCTGTTCCTCCAATATCTTCACCCTAATACAATCTTTGAATAATTTAAAACAACACATACTGTATACGTGGACATTACTAAATTAAATTGACTATATTATTGGTAGAAGAATGTGAAAGAGTTCAGTTTTAAAGACATGGAACAGATCACAAATTGCTTGTGTCCAAGTTTCCAGTTGAGTTAAAGCAGAAGAAGAAAGCCAACTAATTTTCACGTTCCTTGATCTTGTGGCTGTACACACCATTTTCACAGATAACATTAGAGAATTTATAGAAGGGAGAATCACACAAGTGTTTCTTACTCACACAAATGCCAGACTCAAATTATAATGCTTTAGACACATTGTGCAAAGATTCCCTGCTAAAGATTTTACAATATTATAATACTGGGAAAAGTGGAAAAGAAGGGAAATCAGGACAACCAGCAGGAAGCTAGATAGATTCAGATACTGCGGTGAAGTGTGAAACCTTAAAGGGTTTAGATCATCATGGAGAAAATCAATGTGGTTACTAACAGTCAAAACCAGTTTGGTAACACATAATCACACTATCATATCTTGAATATCACAATTTTGAGAATTTTGCTTGAAAGTCTAAAAATGGGACAATAAAATTTCAACAGTATATAAAAAGTTTCATTTTCTGTATAGAATATTTTCCATTTTAGGAAAATATAATATAAAATATATAATATAATATAAGATATATATAAATATATAAATATATAAATATAATTGTGTGTGCTTTTTCTATTAGAAAAGTTGACAAGAGGCTTTAATTAATAAAATATTCATCAAATCAGTGACAGCTTTTGTAATGAGGACACACTATTTTTCTGAAGGAAAGATAACTCTGAATTTAAATTGGTCTCTCCAAAATATAAAAGGAAGGAAGGAACACAAATGAGCATGCACATGTACACACAGACATACACAGATGGACGAGTGAGGGACAGAGAGATCTGGTGAATCCCTTTCTTTCCTACTTTGGATGTCTACTTCGCTTAACTCAGTCCTGAAATTTTCATTCCCTTTCAAAATATTTGACACACTTCTATATACAGTATGTGTGTGTGTGTGTGTGTGTGTGTGTGTGTGTTTATCTGTCAGTAGTCATACCACCCAAAAGAAAAAAGGGCAGAATCAGAACTACGGTATATCTATGTCAACTAGTAAGTAATATGAATTGCCTGTAATTTAGGATAGCTCTTAATAAAATTGATTTCTTATCTGCAAATAGAAAACACTCTCTTTCATGCTTTCATGCTAAAACTTGTAACTGGACGCACATTTCTCTTCTTCCTTCCAGCAGAAACCACAAAAAGGAAGTGGGAATGAGGATGGAGATGAGAGAAAGAAAAAAAATAAAGGGATCATTGGAAAGTAAAGGATGATAGAGAAACCCTGTTTAATCATTGTAGCAGCTCTCAAACAACAGCTGCATTTTTAAAGGCAGCCATTATTTTAGCAGCGATATCTGCAGTGTTTGTACCCTCACCCATTTGCTTTTTTAAAAAAGTAGTTTCTATTATCAGCAAATGGAACACCCCCTTCCAGCCCAAGAAATTCCCCAGATGGGGAAAGAAGTTCATTTTTCTGTTAAGAAAATGTGGTGCTAAATTAAGAACACCAAGCTAGCACATTGTGTACATATTTGAAAATACCAGTATTTTGATTTTCACAGGAATATATGGAACATTAATGTTTCCCTCGTGGACATGCAGTAATAGGGTTTAGTTACTTGAAAAGGAACATTAATGGAATTGTTTAGATGTTTAACCCAAAGTATCTTAGAATGATACGACATCTACTTCAAGTTCTTGTTTCCAAGTATTGGGCAATGCTTGGAAACACTGCTAAGGGAAAGTTCCAAGAGAGTTTCAAGGTTGATAAGGTAGAACAAAATGAATATTAATTTTGATAATTATGTGATTTAAAGGAAAATCAAATAGTCTTTTAGAATTTGCACAAACTATAGCTGTGGTTACACACTTCCTGAAAGATAAAAAGCATATTTTAGGAATTTCTTGGATACATCCTTGACTGTAGGAGTTCATTGAGCAGAGTGAATTTTAACCATTTTACCACATGGCAGCAGTATCAGAGAAATCATACTATATCTCAGTGATTTACTCACTCCCTGGTTCCATTTAGCATGGATTATTACAGTGCACTTTATATCCAGCTGCTTTTAAAAACAGTTCAGAAACTTTAGTGCAGAATTTTAGTATGGTTGTGTGTGCTACAATCTAGTTATGATATTGAAGATTCATATTTACCTTTAATCAGCTGTCTTGCCATAGTGTTTTTTGGTCTGATTTAAAAAGCTGGTTTAAAGTACAATCGGATCTTAAAAGAGTTTGGGATGAAGCTTTTGGAATAGCACACCCACACTTGAAAATAATGTCCAAGGTCCTCTTTTTTTTATCTTGATTAGTCAGCTCACAAGTACAGTTCTTTCATTGATTACACAACATTTAATGGCACTCATTTCCAGCTGGGATACATTAGGCCTCTTCTTTGCATTTTTTCCAAAAACATCCTAAAAGATCTACTTACTCACTTAAGATTTTATAAGAGTGCTTGATGGACAAATTTTTAGTATGTGATTATTCTATATAGTTGTTTTATGAGTTAGTTAAGTGCCTTGAAAGAGATCCCAAGCATCTTTAATAAATATCTACATACTGGTAGATGAAAACTAAGAATGGAACACCCATAAATGCATCAGTTATTTAAAATCACCAAAGTAGGCATTTTCAAGACGTTCTCTGTTAGCTACTACTACTTGGTAAATGCCTCTTCATGTACCATATGTACAGAACAAGTCAAATCTAAAGACTCTGCTCTTCAGGCTATTAGTGAAGTAAATTAGCCTAATATACAGTGATGAGAATTTTTGGTAGTCACCATTTGACTTGTAGAACATCCAATATGTTTAAGGAAAAGCCTTATAACAATTCATGGATAAAGTGTTTTTTATGATTTCTAGGCATCAGAAAGCAAACTCAGTATTTTTGGAGAAACCATTGA